AACAGCATAACCAGCATGGAGCACCATGGAGCAGCTAGGAGCAGCATGGAATAGACACGGAGCAGCATGGAACAGCATAGGGCAGACATGGAGCAGCATGGAACAGACATGGAGCAGCATGGAATAGACATGGGGCAGTACAGAACAGCATAAACAGCATGGAGCACCTCGGAGCAGATAGAAGCACCACGGAACAGCATGGAGCAGACATGGAACAGCATGGAACAGACATGGGGCAGACATGGAGCAGCATGGAATAGACATGGAACAGCGTAGAGCAACATAAACAGCATGGAGCACCACAGAGCAGCTAGGAGCATCATGGAGCAGCATGGAACAGCATGGAACAGACATGGAACAGCATGGAGCACCACAGAGCAGCTAGGAGGACCATGGAGCATCATGGAACAGCATGGACAGCATGAAGTAGCCTAGGTGTTTGGCCCTCACCATAGAAAGCATTGTGTAGGGTGGTGAACAGTATCCTCCTGGAGATTTCTGAAGTATGGAACTGATTTCTCACCTCCCCAAATCTACCTTTCCGCTCTGAGTCCTGTACCTGACCTGGTGTGTGTGGCCTTGGCTCAGCAGCCACTGTGCCCACGGGGCCTGCGTGCGCAGCTCTGAAAGCCCTGGCTGCCAAGAGCATAAGTGTCTCCAGACTCTGCAGGGTTTTAAGAGCTACTCGAAAGGGGCACACCTCAGCTCTGGCACTGCTTAGTGCCGGGTTGTAGGATGTAGGATGAGTTCCCCCAACAATCCAGGGCAAGGTGGGAGCAAGTTCAGTGTGAGAGTCAGCTTGCCGGTGCTTTGTCTAATACGCAGGCTGGGCTCACACGTCGGCCGCTAAGCAGTGAGATGCCTGGCCCCAAGTCCATGGAAATGTTAGAATGGCTGTCAACAGGAAAAAAGCTCTTCTGTTTCCGCCATACTTAAGATACATTCACCAACTGTTGCACTGAAGATTAAGGCTGTGTATTTTTTCAATGTCAAGATTATACTCTATCAGAATTTCCTGTGTCAGTTTGGGAATTTTGTTTTCTTAGTAGCATTGAAATAGGGAAACTATTTTAAAGTAAAGTGAAATCTTCTGATCCTTTTACTAAATTCTGGAAATTCAGAGGGGGCCACCCCACAGGTGTTCCAGGTCCCTGAACATACAAACACAAATCAAAGATACAGACATCAAACAGCAGGTGGATAGCTCAGGCTTTACATCCGTATCCGCGATTCCATAAGGAAACACACAGCTTCCCTGCAATTAACGTCCGACAACCATTTATCAAACACCTCCAGCCAGTGTGTACCAATTAGTGTGCAAGACAGTCGGGATATGTCCGTGAACAAAACAGCAAAGCACACGGGGTCCGGCCCTGGCGGGACGTGCATCGGCGGGGAAGGCGGTGCAGAGACGGGATGTCATAAGCAAGTGTGGACTATGCTAGAGGTGACCAGGGCTCCGTGTCACTCATGTTCCAGACGCAGACCCAGTGGTGAACCACGCCGGCAGCAGGGGCTGGAAGCATTGGATGCTGGAGACATTTGCACTGTGATTTCTGCCCCCCTGGCTGTGGGAGCCAGAGAACGTGGGGGGTCAAGGGTAAGGTCAAGGCATTGATGCACGGCTCAGAGGACAGGGTTCGCTCTGCTGGCCTAGAAGTCTGGGGCGGAGGTCAGGGGGAGAAGGTGGAGGGACCCCCCCCCCAACCCCTTGCAGCTCCGACTGTTCCTCCGTGGCCTCAAGGTGTGAGAGCTACACTTTTGATTGGCGTTTTCCTTTTTCCACGCCCCACTCACTTCTAGAACCTCCAAAGGGCCGAGTACGGTGACACAGATGCGTGTGTGGGCCACACTGCTACGTGGACAGGGTGGAAATGTCTGGGGCCAGACCCCCAGCAGGCAGGTGCTGCCCCCGGGGCCTCGGGGAGCTGGGGTGGTGTTGGGGCCCAGCGGGCAGGGCCTCATCCTGAGGCTGCCTCACTCCTCCTAGCTGCCCGGGGTGGGGGCCAGAGGCAGCCCAGACCCTCCTGCCACTGCCCGTGTCCACTCGGGATGGGAGTAGCGATGGGAACAGGCTCTCCCTGCACTTCCTTCTTGTGGGCCTGAGCTGGCCGCGGGAGGCAGGCTGGCCACTGGGAACTACCTCCTTCCCCGCTGTATTCCACAGGTGAGGCAAATTCAGGGTGTGAGATGGCCTGGAGGTGGCCAGTCTGAGGCGGGAGGAGACCCTGCAAGCTCACGTCTGTGTGTGCAGGTCCCCGTCATGGAGGCTGCCTGGCACAGCACTGCCTCTGTCCATCTGTCCCTCCTTCCACCAGAAGATGATTCTGCACGGACGTGCTCTCCCAGCTGCTGGAGCCTTTGGCCCCCTCGGCTCAGACGTGCCCACAGGGAGAGCCAGGCCCCCCACGGAGCTGGGTGCACAGGGACCCGCGGGTGCTCAGCGAGATGGGCACTCTGGGGGAATGTCACGCAGACAGGTTAGCGAGCTCTAGCTGCGCCCTTGACAGGCCGACACGACAGGCCAGGTCTGAGAAGGGGCCCGGGCACAGGTGTCCACCCTTTCTATAATGTCTCAGGACCGGCTTAGGGCTTATTACAACAAAGCACAACACGCTGGGGGCTCTCCACACCAGAAGTTTATTCTCGCAGCGTTCTGGAGCCCAGAGTCCAAAATCAGAGCCGTGTGTCCTCCGAAGCCGGCTGGAGAGGACCTGTCCTGCCTCTTCCTGCCTCTGGTGTCACCCGTGGTCCTTGGCCATTCTCCACTGTCACTGTGTCTGGTCTTCACGTGCTATCTTCTTGTAGGGACACCAGTCACACTGGGCTGGGGACACCAGGCTGCAGGATGACCTCATCCTCCCTAGTTACCTCTGCAATCACCTATTTCCAAATGAGGCCACGTTCTGAGGTCCTGGGGGGTAGGACTTCTATCTGTTGTTTTAGGGGGACACAATTCAACTAATATCCGTTAAATAAGGTGGGGGCCACCTCCCAAACAAGCCTGTGCAAGGAGGTGCAGGACAGAGCCCAGCACTGGTTGCATATTATCCACGTGAAGAAATCAGACGAGGACCAAAATGTCCAACCAGTGTTGTGACTTGTTCCTCAGGCCTTTGGCATAAACCCCCAGGAGAAGCCCTGAGTCCCAGACCCAGACCTCTTGGGGGGAAGACCCGATTGGCTTGGGTGGTCAATGGTTTGATGATCGACTGTGCCAAAGATGGGTGGGGCCGTTGACACCACCTGGCTGCAGGGCTATCCCGTCGCTGGCCGGTCCAAAGGGTCTTCCGGAATGGTCAGTGATTGCAGGAGGGGAGACACATGGCGGCAGCAAGACAGATGCACTTTCAGAGGCTCATCAGCTGCCTGCCACAGACATTCCTGCCACTGAGACCACGCCCGGACGAGTGACCACAGCAGAAGACGCAGTGAGAGTAGCGCTAGAACCACTTCTGCCCATGTTTCCTCGGATGCACATTCCAGCTCAGGCCACACTGTAAGTAAGTAAGCCAGGGCTGGAGGCCCGCACCCCACGAGCCAGTCCCCCGTGGGTCCTGGAAGAGCACCTTTCTGGTGAGGTGCTTCACCCTCGGCTCCTCCCACCTGCCCTGCTTCATAAAAGAGAAACTGAGTCTCCAAAGCTGAGTGGGGCCCTGCCTGGAGCACCATTAACCACAGTGGTAGAGACCACACTTGAACCTAGGGCCGCCAAGTCCAGGCCGGCACCCTTTTCTCTTTTCTTGAGGTTAAAATCCACGTAACATAAAAGTGACCGTTAGCCCTTTTAATGCAGACAGTTCAGTGCCGTTTAGCACGTTCACACTGTAGTGCAATCAGCACCCCTATCTGGTTCCACGACGTTTCGTCTCCCCAAAGAGAACCCGCGATCAGCAGTCACCGCCCCCCCGCCCGGCTCTCTCCCCCTGCAACCGCGAATGTACCTTCTGTCTCTAGGTGCTGCC